AAATTTACACTAACCCCTGGTCAGGTTAGTCTTTTAACATATTTGATGTTTCTGTAAAACTAATATATCTTTTTGCCTTTGGAATGGAAATGGTTGTTCTTGTCCTCACTTAATTGACCAAATTTATTTTCAGCAACAATGCACCATGCCAATTTTTTTAGGTCATCTGCTTATTAAGAACAAAATATTAAGAATTTGTAAACCTCTGATTTCACTTTCCCCATTCTAGTAGTTGAAAATCAGTAAATCAGAGACAGAAAATTGATTTTTTTTTCCTTGTGGTGACCATCTAAATATTATTTATCCTCTTTCCCCCCCCCTCCCCCTATTGGGTCTTTGGAAGTCATGCTAAGTTGTTTATCCTTTCTAAGAGCTAAGCAGATGTTTTCTTCCTACTGATTTAGCTGATACAAGTAAAGTTGGCTGCCCCATCTCTACCAAAAAGCTGACCATGAAGCAAGAATTTCTCACAACTGCAGAAGAGTTATATGCAGCGCTAACAGAACAGCAGGTGATGTACATGAACTAGTTACAACTCTTTACCCACTGACAGAACTCAATTAGATGAATATTATATGTTCAAGTATCTGAAATTATGAACAATTCATAAAACTTGCAGTTAAATCTATTGTAGTGCAGTGGCCTCATAATACTTGTGTAGTGCACAGGACTCTGGGATGAAAGGTCTGGGTTTAAGTCCTGGCGTGGTCAATGTGTTGTGTTCTTGGGCAAGACACTTTTACCTTCACAGTGCCTCTTTCCATTCAGGAGTATGGATGGGTATCAGTGAATTGGCAGAGAAGCCTGCTGAAATGCTGAAGGGTAACCTTGTTGAAGTTTGGTATCCCACCCAAGGGGAAAGAGGGGGTTGGTTAGTAACACTCCTAGTTGCTTCCAGCAAGATAAGCTCTGGCTGGACCTCTGCATCCCCATGTACTTTCAGATCAGAAGATTTTATTTTACACGTAGCACCTGTAAAGTGAAACCTTCAAATTACGTCAATTTGCGTGAGGTTTAGTTAGTTTTACCCTTCTTGGAATGGCTGTTTATCATAGGTCCATTAGCATATTAGATGCTTAGATAAATGACCCCACAAGCTTTATAGCTTTAATAATTACTGTTTTCAAATAAAGGACTTTATTTTATTTGGATGGGCCACTTGACTCAAAAACCAACTTTACCTTTACCTACCAATCAAATGTGAAGTACACAATGTTTAAGCTAACTGTTAGAATTCAGGGAAGAATGATATTATGTTTTCCAGAGAAATGCGTTTTCTGTATTCCTGTCTCACAACTAAACAAAAATTTTTTTCAGTAAGAATTTATCAAATGAAAAGAAAAGTCAATGAACAGGTCATTAAAACAAAGTTTAGCGGTTGTTTCACAAAACCACATTCTAAGTTCTCTTCAATTAAGCCAAACCTTATATCTGAACGTTTATTTTTGTGAACAGTGTCAAGAATCCCTGAGTCCCTCTGTTTATGTCAAACTGCAGTTTGGGTTAGACCTTGTGTAAATAATTGGTCCAACTGGTCCATCAAAGTAAACTTTGTTAGTTTTAATGTTTGTTTTTTCACACCTTACGTTTGCCAGTAAGCCCAGACTTAATGTAAATCACCCAGCTTTTGAGCTCACGACCCAACCTGTCAAGCACTGGCCATGAAATAATAACCCAGTATCTGTTGTGTTGCATCCACAGAGACTTGAAGCTTTCACCCAGAGCTCAGTAAAGGTGGATGCTAGTCGTGGAGGAACATTTGTACTTTTTAATGGCAATGTGTCAGGAAAATTCCAGGAATTGGTTAGTTAAGATAGAGTTCTGTTACTGTGAAAATTGTATTAACTTAAAGAAAATTATCTTAAGAATTTCTCTGTACAATATTCTTACAAAATTAAGCAGACATGTGACCAGAATAATGAAAAATGTTGGTAAGGGGATTATTAGTTGGCCCAAAACTAAATTCCCAGAACTAATATCTTAAGAACAGTATGGTAGACAGTAAGGAGAATTACTAATGAGATCTTGGGAGTGAAAGGGTTAAATTTTGTTTTAATTTCTCAGGTTTCAGAGGAAAAGATAGTAATGCTGTGGAGATTCAAGAGCTGGCCTGAAGGACACCACTCCACAGTGAAAATCACTTTGGATCAGAAAGATGACCGTACTGAGTTGACATTAGTACAGACAGGCATCCCTGAGGAAGATTTTGAGCGCACAAAAAGTGGATGGAAACAGTACTACTGGGAAGCAATGAAACGAACATTTTGTTGGGGGATGCGATACTTCTGACTAGAGTTTCTGTATGACTTGGCATTGTTTTACTTTGAGCATGTAGTAGTGACCTAAACTGTTTGTTTAGTATCTCATTGTTGGACTTAGATTGACTCAAGATTTTGTATGACCTATAGGTACATGTAGTTGGGATAATTTTTGTGGGTGGGGAAGGCAGGGAAATAGAACATAAACCTGTATTTGCAGAGCTACTTAATAGGGGAGAAACAGACTCAACAAGAACCATTGGAAAGTCTGCAACTCCTTGCCCTTCTCACCCACTTTGTGTTTTCCACTTCACAAAGGAAGCAGAGTTCTACTTTATAATAACTTACCCAACCAGCTCTAGCAATGAGGAGGAAAGAAAGAGTAAAGCAAGTAGAAGAAAGGAAC